TCTATAAAAATTTAATTACATGTGCTTACATTCATATAGTTTCCAGAGCTGATTCTAAGTGATAAAAATAAATTATAAAAAAACCATAATCTCTTTTTAGTTCTAGAATTGGTACAACAAGGGGACATAACCTCTTGAAGTCAGATCCTTAAGTAGTGGCCAAGTTTTGCTCAAATGTGGGAGAAATCCTGATATTTCAGAAAGTCAGACTAGTAGATGATCAACATAGAACTACTGAAAAAAAGATGTTTTAAAGCCTGTATTTTAAAGCCTATATTTAATCTTTCTTCAATTTTAAAGACCAGAACTTAAGTGAAGTAGTCAGAATTGCTCGTGCTGTTTTTTATTCTGTGTCACAGCACTGACAATCTCAATGGCAAAATGGATATCCAATGATTATGAGATCCTGTTGTGAGTAAAATGGGACAACAAAGTTAAGATTACTTCAGTGAAGATTATGGAGTATGTGACAATGCCTGGTTACTGAAATGTAGGATTCCTTGTCTAGCCTTAGGCTGTACATGAAGCAAAAACTACACTAGTAAAAATAGAAATCTAATGTTCTTGTGTTCTCTAGATATTTTTTTTTTTTACATAGTACCACAAAAGTTTTGGCTGAACCACAAAAGCAGAAAAAGGGTTTTCTTCTTAAAGGCTCTGGGACTTTGCAGTGAAGAAGACTTCAAGATTGAGACAACCTCGACCTTTGTATCATAGATTTTTTTACTGTGGAATTTGTGGAGGTTTTTTTCATGTGTGCATGCAGAGGAGTATTAGTATATGTGTAAAAGCACCTATAAAACCATGTTGTAAATTGTTTAAATTAATATATAAAATAAATCCAATTTAATTCCCCATAAATGCACTTTGTGTAATCCTGTGAAGTATTATGAAGTGGATATAATGTGTCGCCCTCTCAAAGCAGTCTAGAAATTATCTTCAGTGTGTCTATATAGAGTAACAAATGGAAGACTATCAAGTCACCTTATTACAACAGTAGTGTGAAGCTCACACCCGCTATGTAATGTCAGTTATTAGCTAATAACTAACTTTTGTGGGAGCTGGAGTTGCTCTCCATGGTCAGGCGTTTTGTATTTCTTGTTATTCAGTTGGACACACAGCTCCTCAACAGAATCCACAATGAGCACAAAAGCAGGAAGCAGCTGAAGTTCATTGTCAGTTTTGAAGCAGCCAGACAAAGCTACTGGTTTTAATATTTTTCCCATTGTTTCTGAATTTGGTTGATCTAATAGGGCCCCACTCACTGCGGAAATTTGGTTCCATTGGGGACTGCTGTGGTGGATAGAGTTTAGCTCCCCCAGCTCAGGTAGTTTTGTTCCTGCCCCAGTCCTCCCACTGTGTGAATGTGATCAAGGCAGTACCTCAGGCTTCAGTTCTCAGATGGTTAAAACTGGAGGAGATTGGGCTGCCAATAAAAGGTTCCCTCACTGAATAACTGCCCTGTAGTTCTGCTGGGAAGAGGTGATGGGCTGGGGAGTGAGTAGTCCTACAATCCTAGTGTTTGTACGTGCCAAGTTTGCTGTAGAGGTTAAGATCCTAAATAGGAAAGAAGATGGGTGTTCTGCAGCTGGAGAAATGAGAGGAGAACCTCAGCTGCCTTCAGGTAAAGTGCTTCATGTTGATACTTCTAACTAAAATTTTGGTATCTGGATTTAATTTTCAGAGTGAGGTTGTTATTTGAAAGCTTAATTCTAACTGAAAAACAGTTAGACTTTAGTTCTGTTTTGTCTAAAGTGATTAAAAAACCCCCAAACCGGCATCTAAGAGTTTACTAGTCAGTGCTCATTTAGCAGCATTTCTATTGAACAGTCACTGTGTATATTCATGTGTACAATAGTGGTAGCAGTAATAGTGTGTTTCCAACCAGGAAAATAAAGGGCCATTGATAAAGCTTTGAGTGTTAAACCTAATTCAAGATGTTTAAGCTGTATTTGCTACATACTGTTAGAACTTCCCGGAGTTTGAATTTTCTTAATAAATATTTTTAACTGTGTGAAATATGTTGTAGAGTTGGTTCAAAAGCCTATTAATAGCCCTATTTTGAGATGTGGAAGCTGGAGAACTTCTGTGAGATGGGCACTACCTAATCTAAACTATCAAATTATTTCAGTATTTTTGCTCTATTTGTAACCATGATGTTAACAGCATCTGCCAGAGTAGCTTTATTTCTATCCTGAACAGATAGAGGCTCTACAGTATGCAATAAACTTCAAAAATATGTAATTGCAAAAGAGTATCTTTTCCTTGTTTGTTTTTTTCATTATAATACGTAATAATGAATTCCTTAATGGCCTCTTTCCACAGTTCCTGATATAATGGAATTTTAAGGTAGAAAACAAATAAACTGAAGTCTGCCAGCCAAAAATCTATTTGAAGATAGAAACTGTTGACAACTGCAAACATTAGACATAGCATCACATGGCACCTTATAAATAGTGGTTTAAGTTTTACAACAGACTGCTTTCCTCTAACAGTTGGCAGAAAGATATGTCTAGTAGTTAATGGGAACCTCTTACAATAAACAAAAGAAAAAAATGTGGTAATTTACTCATCTGATCTGGCTCTTTTTGTGCTTAATGGCACCCACCTGCATCATGGCACCAAGGACAATACAGATGGTGCTGTGATTAGGCTGAAATGAGAACTTTCATCAACTGTAAGGAAGTCAGCCTTAAGAACACATTTGTTATTATCCTAGCCTTCGGATTTGGATTCCAGCATTGTCTTGAATGTAAGGAATGAATATTATTGAAGGGTTTGGATTATGTGACCCTGAGGTTCTTTGCATGGATGTTGTTTCTACTAATACAATAAGTAGATTAGCTGTAATATTCTGATTACTTTTCCCCCCTTCTCTTGAACTGCACATTTTTCTAACAAGTCTTTTTGAGTACAATTTAGCTAAGTATGCTTTTTCCCATAGCTCTCCAATGGTCTTATCCATTGTGGGTATATTCTGTTCTTTGGCTCTGGTAATGCTGACAGTCCCCAGCAGAGGTTCTGCTGCTCTGAGATGGGCTGTGATGAACTCTGCTATAAAGTTTATTGAATGATGGCAAACTTAATTCATTGCAGTATTGTTGCAGCCTTATGGCAGCTCTCAGTCTTCCCACAGTGATTATTCCTTGGAAAGAAGAATTCTATTCCTTCTTAGGCTGCTGGTCCTCTGTCAGGATGCTTCTGGCTTTTGCTGGCTATCACAAGGCCCTCAGTCTTTGCCAGAATGAGTCACAAAAAAAGATAAGGCAGAACCTGATGTTCTTGTCTTTTCATATAGACAGGAGTGGTGTGACATGTTGTTTAAAAAACTGTCAGCAGCTGACACAACTTAGAACAAAAGTCCTGTCATCATTAACAGTACTGAGACAGAATTTGATTTTAGCAATATTGAGACAGGTCTGTAAGAGATTCTTCTTTCACACTGACTCCTAATTAAGGGCTAAGCTGAAAATGGGTACTTCTTGCCCTCTGAAGCTTTCACTGTAGTGACCCATATTTTGTAGTACTTATCCGTTTTCTTACAGATGCAGACTTGCTAACTCTTGTGGAATGTTTTGTTTTCAGATGAAGTGAAATTATTTGTATACAAAACCATGTCCCCTCTTGTCAGTTTCTCCGGGAACAGATTTTCTCTGTCCGTATTTTTCATGATTTTGAAACTATTTGAACAGAAATGTCTTCAAATAAGGATGCAGGTTTAAAAGCAATTGAAATTTGCATTTTAATAATGATTATTTCATTACTTTGAACTCAGAAAAAGTATTTGGCCGCTATTGCAATTATAGCGAAGGTAGATGGGCACTGTAAGAGTGTGTCCCTTTCTTGGGAAAATACAAAACTGCTATGTTCCTGCTGGGAATGGCATTCTAGCATGTCTAAATAAATATTTGTGACAGCCAATTATTTCAACTGACTTTGGATAATTCAGATAGAGCAATAAAGGCATTATGCTAATTTTAAACACGATTGGTTGAAATCAATTTGATTTGGCATAGTTTTTAACAGTAATTCCATAAAGGTAGTTCTTCTCAATAAATGTTTAATCGTGGCATTTATAGGTGCATATGTGGACAAGAGAGAAATAAAACAGGGATAATATTAAAGCAACTGCAGATCTGAAGTGGTTCTTGAAATCATTGTTACTGCAATGAGATCAAGAGGAGACAGATACAAAATTTCACAAACATATTTTATAGGGTGAGGTATGAAGGTGCATTGAAGCTAAAGACCAATGGTGATCACTTATAATTGTGTACACAAAGCAATTAAACTAAAAAAAAAATGAGGGAAAATAGAAGAGGAACTAACCCTCTCTTCTTAGGATGGGAAGCCACTGATGTTTATAGAAGTTTCTCCCACTCCCCTTAGTAAAAAAACAATAAAATCTCAGAAATAATTTTTAATACAGTTTGCAGCTTTCTTACAAAAAAGGCTTTCAGGTTTTGCATAGCAGATAATCTGTGAGGTTTTTTCCTTTCACGCTGCTTTTGGAAAAGATACAAATAAATATGGATGTCATCTTAATTTCTTTTACACTTAAGCCGAAACACAGATTCGGATTTCTGGGTTTTTTTCTGTTTATGTAAATGCACGCTTATAGCAACGGATTTTTAGACATCATGTTCTGAAGCACCTGCCCTTGGACATTTCTGGCCTTCGGTGAACAGGAGCGAGAAGGCAATTTAGCCTCTGCATTTACGCAGACCTAGGTGTATTTTTAGGCTGTTTCACCATGAGTAACACACTTGCGGCCGTTCAGCTGGGTGGGACTGGAACCCGCGGGCCGGCGATGAATGGCCAGCGACAGACGCTCGCAGGAATCACGGGCTGCGGTGCGTGTGCTGCTGCTGCTGCTGCTGCTGCTGCTGCTGCTGCTGCTGCTGCTGCTGCTGCTGCCCCCGGCGGCTCCGAGCCGCGCCGCTGGAGCCCCGGCTCCTCGGGAATGCTGGGAATGTTGAGTCAGGGACTGGCAGCCCAGACAGCCGGGCTCGCAGCTCGCTGAGGGACGGAAAGACGAGGGACAGGGGCACACGAGCCTCCCCCGGCCGCAGCAGGTTCCTCCTCTCGCCCCCTCGCTGGTGTTCCGCGGCTCCGGCTCTCCCTGCTGCCTCCTTCCTCCGCGCAACCGGGATGCCAGCTAAACGTGATGTTGTAAAATCCATGTGAGGACGGAAGGCAGATGCAATGATTTGAAAGGTGAGAAGCTTAAATAAGATATGGCTGGGATACATGACTGTAAATTTACTGTGATTAAGGAAATGCTGTATATCGCTTTTTACAGCTGTCTGGTAGCTGAATCTGGAGATGAATTTGCAGAATAGGCTTTTTATATTGCTTTGGAAATACATTGTAATAAATGGGACCAAGTGCATATCTTATTCTGGTAACAGAGTGCCTCTCCCTACAGAATCGTCAACCAGAAGCCTCTCTTGCAATTTCTATTAAAAGCAGCCGTAGGACTATAATTTTTTTTTTTTTTTTGCCTAGTGTTTAAAAATGTTGTTGTTGTTAAAGTTTTCTAGAATAGAATTGATGCGATTTGGACATTCCTGGCTTTATACCTAAATAATGGATAATGTTTGGTGTTTTAAAAGCCACATCAGGAAAAAAGGTGAGATTTCTGTTCCCTTCTAGTGGTTGGCAAATGGAAACACGCTAACAGGATATTATTTTTCAGTTATATCGATGATGAATACTTACTGGAGTCCCTCATTTATGATGCCGTGGCTTAATTTTTTTTAAAGATAAGATCATTTTAGGCTGGACAAGTGATGGATGTGATGCATGTGATGAAATCCACGTCTATGTTCACCAAGGATACATACGTATTTTTCTGGGAGCACTACAGTAGTAATTTGATGGAGGAGGATTTTTTTTATTTTTTATTTTTTATTTTTTTTATTAGTGTGTGATTGATTTCTAGGCGGCTACCTGCTAAGCCTTGTGATGGATGGATGGGAATCTACTCCCGTAGCGGCGAATTGCTCTTTCCCTGGTGATGGACGCGCCGGCCGACCACTGGCATTGGCAGATACGAGCTCGTTGCACACGAGCGCGGCCAATAAGTGCAGCCAAGGGGAGGGCAAATCCTACTTGCCAGGGTTAGTTTTCTGGTCGGCTTTCTAAATCAGTGGTTTCACTTAGCTATTGTCCGTTCGGGATTTGTTTTTATTTCCATCCTCGTACCCCCGCCCCACGTGCGTGTCCAGGGCGGCCGCCCCGACCGCGGCCCCTTCCCGGCAGCAGCGGCGGGCGCAGGCCCCGCTCCGGCTCCCCCCTCGGAGGGCGGGGAAGGGAGGGAGGGAGGTTCCTCTCCATCAAGTCGCTTCGCCCCTGGCTCTTGGTTTCCCTGTCGCCGAGCCGAGGACGGAGCAGATCCTCCGTGTCAACCCCGCCGCCCTGCCCTGAGGGGAGATGCTGGCGATGCTCTGCTGCCCTGTTCCCTTCCTCTCTCCCTCCCTCCCTCCCTCCCCCGGGAACCGCAGAGCTGCACAGCCGGGATTGGGGGCGCGGGGAGAGCCCTCCCGCCGCCCTTCGCCAGCCCCGGTCGGGGCAAGCAGCGGGGACTGTCCTCCAGGCTCCCTGCTCGGCAGCGAGGGCTGAGGGAGCCCGGCCGCCGGCCCGGCCCGGCTGTGTCGGGGCTGCACGGCCCCGCGGGGACCCCAAACCAATCCCTGTGCCGGGAGATTTCCTTGGACTGTCCCCATGGAAGGGCGGGGGGTGGCGGGCGCTCCCGCAGCTCAGGTGAAGGAAACACCAGCCATAAAAGCCCAGCAGCAGCAGAGCACACCAGGCTCCCTGAGCCGCAGTCCCCTCACGGTCGCATCTGCCCGAGCAGTGCATTCCCCGTTTGTTCCTCTCCCCGAATAGCAGGAGGAAAGGGCCCTTTATTGTCAGAGTCTGTTTCTGCACACGCGGAGTGTGCAATGGTACATCCAGCTCCCTTAAGGAACGTGTTTCTGTGGGAAAAGCTTTCTTAGTTTCTTGATGGAAAAAAAACCTTACAGTCAAGCCTTGGCTTCATGGGTGACTCTGTTAAGGGCTGTCTATGAAAGTAACTCTACATCTCCTCAGTGCCTTAAAGGAAGTGTGTTTACTACTGTTGTTTTTGTTTGAAAGCTCTGTGTAAAATGGCTTTCAAAGGCATTAAGGTGAGTTAGCATTTTCACTTTTCCTAGAGGAATCTGGGAGGAAGGAGAGGCTTTCTGTCCAGTAAGTGAAAGGAATATAATTTCTTCTTCCAAAGGCTTGCTGAGAAGGGCAGTTCCTGGGGTTTATGGCTATCCAGGTTGAAACTAAACGTTTGAACTACGGAGAAACCTTGTGCTGTGTTTTATGAGCACATCCAGGGTGATGTAGACCTTCCAGTTAAGAACCGAGAAATTTCTTGTTTGGTGTTTGGGTGCCTTATTATACTCCTTATCCTTGCTCTTGTGGTTTGCCAGCATTTGGAGGGGACCCATCTCAGCACCTCTTACCCTGTGGGTGGTTCTTCAGCTCCTCTAACCCCTGCTAGTCAAATTCTGGTGGATGGGAGTGGGACATGCATTGTCCACGCTGGTTCCTCCTGCTATCCTTGCCTGCTCTGAAGGCTGTAGAAAGGTGTGGGCCATATGCTTAGCAGCCACATACCAAAAGAACACCTTCAGTTATTTTAGAATATCAAATATATGTGATATTTAAAGAATGATCTGTTCAGCATGTGTGTTTTTGTATAAGCATGCTCAAGGTGATATTTTTTCTTTTGCTTTAGAAAGATGATTGTTACTGACCTTTGAAGGATGACTAAGAAAAAAGAGTGGGTTGTTCACCCCTCAAAGAGAGTGAGGCAACCAGCCTGTGTATCACTTCCAAAGACAACATGTGTTCCCCCACCTGTATCTCTTAGCGTGTTTATTATATTTTTATCCACTATGATGCATTTGTTATCATCTGTTTAATTTTGGTTTTTAATGCCTAGGAGATAGATAAAGATATAGATATATATAGATATATATATATATATATATATGGAGGATCTTAGATCCACCTAAGAAATATTACTCTGATACTGACTTTAAAAAAAAAATATTATGTGAGCCCTCTTATCTGTGATATTATATTTGTTTGGTTTAGGATTATGTTCAAATATTTTTGTGATTTAAGTCTCAGTTTTTGAATGATCTCATATGTACTTAGCAATGATGAGCTTGCCTCAGTGTATTTATATTTTGCAACACTAACACTAGCTTATATTTTTTACTAAGCCCTGGCCAAAGGGTAAGAGCATTTGAAAGTTAAATGACTTTATAATTTCCTTGTGAGGGTCATAGTTGAAACTAAGTTCTGAAAATGAATTGTGTAGTGCTGCTCCTTCCGAGTGACACTTTCACCTTAAGAAAATACAAAGGCATATCAGCAGAAACATCAGTTAAATGTTTTTCTGGAGCATTTTGTTTTTAATCACTTTTTAAAGACGCAAAGTATTTTATAGAAAGCCTGTAAAGGATTGTTTCTTTCTGAGATCAAGTGAGATGGATTTATGTTGGTTTGTTACTGCTTGTATGTAAGATGTAAAAAAACCACCCCAGTCTGTTTCCTTGGAAAGCAGCAGTCAATTACTTGTGCAGATTTCCAAGCATAGATATCCAATGTATGTGAAGATGTAGGTGTCCGATGAATTAGCATAGTGGATTTTAAATTCTGTTGGTGCTTTCTTGGTGGTTGATTTCAGCGATTTTTATGATTTATTTAATGATAGTGGCTTTTAGATTTCCAGCTTTGGAATATCTTAAGGAGCCAGGTTTTGTTTTGGAGTAATGGCAACAATCAGGAACCACGTCTCCTTTTAGGGACAGTCTGTCAGGTGCTGAGCTCTGCCAAAGGAGAGGGGAGCAGCAAAAGTATTTTAGCATTTCTCCAGATAAGGCTCCATTACTGCTACACCACTTCTATTCACAGAAACTTGGAATTCCTTCATGATAATAGAAATTTAGACTTTGCAATGGACAGGGTACATGTTGTCCCTTTACTTTAAAATGAGAATAATGAGGGAAATGTGTAGAGTTGGAATTCCTGTGCTTTTAGGAAAGCAGAAGGAATGTGTCTTAGAATTTGAGGTGTAAGTGAGAATTTCAAGTTGTGATGGGATGTGTGGGAGTCTTTAGTATTTTGGATGTTTAGCAAAGCTGGAGCTTTTGTGTGAAATTTTAAGACTAGGTTTTTGAAAGGCAAAACTTGCTTTCTGGATTATCTTAAAAACTTATTCTAAGACAGTTTTGTGGACTGGCATTCACTGGAAATGTTTCAGACTAGCTACCATTTGGCTTCTTTAATGACCAATGTACTTTTTATTTTGTTAAAATACCCCACTTCCAGCAAATACTCTTTGATTTTTCTTTTAATACTTCCCACTGTTTGTCCTGCTCATTATTATGTTCCTCTAACTGAAGTCACAGTGCAGATGTAGAATCTAGCAACTAAATCCTACAAAAAATTGAAAATTGAGAGATTTTTCCAAGTAATTTAACTCTAAAATTTTTCTCATTGTGTGAGAAATGTCATGGGACATTGAATGGAGTGAAAGAATTGATGAAAGTGGTGTATATACCAATATTTTGTATAGATATATGTGGAAATGATGTGCTGTAGTTTCAGGAAGTACTGTGGAGCTGGGGTGGGAAGCCACTAGAGAAAGCATTGTCTTATAGTGATTACTTAGTTGGATATAATGTGCAATTTATTTTGAAGGAAATGTAACAAAAAATCTCTGCAATTTGAGACTAAACCAAAAATACATTTTGCACAGAGCATTGTTAATGTGTGGGGCAGTTTCCATCCCAGTGAATAACTCAGATCACTTAGGATGCTGACTAATAGGACATAATCTTCTCCATACATTGAGAGATTTACAGAGCACATCTTGGTCACTTCATTCCAATTCCTCATGGGGGTTTAATATGTCTGTACCTGTGGTTACACTATTTGGTATGTTTGAATTGTTTCATTGCAAGACTTGGAGGCCACAGTACTTGAATTCTCAGGAGCTGATTTTTCTTTGTCAGGTATGAGTTGAGTCCTGTTAGACATTTTGCTGCTGCCTCTTCAGTTTTCAGTGTTATCTAAACACTTTTCATGATCAGTAAAATTAATTTACTGGTAATCTGCTTAGATATATATTTTATTATCTCTTGGCACATGCAGTGTCTGAATTATTA